TCTTGATGAAAGTAAACATTGATTCACACATCAGGTAACATACTAAAATTAATTAGAAATGGAACTTATTCTTAAAAGGGGGACTTTCTTATTAAGTGTTTGAAAGAAAACAATAGGATATCTTTATGACTTTTGGGTGGTCAATGATTTGTTACGAAGGACAAAAATCATAAAAAACATGATTGGGGAAGGTGTTCTGATTTGAATCTGAAAGTCCCCCAAAGACCATATGTGGAAAACATGGTCCCTAAGTTGGTCCTACTAAAAAGTGGTAGAGCGCAATGCGATATTTTAGGTCACTGGGGTAGTCCTCTTGGACATTAGTCTCTTCCTCTCTCTTGCTGCCTGGTCGCCATGAAGTGAGCAGCTTTGCTCTACCACGTGCTCCTTGCTAGGATGTGCTGCCTTGGCACATACTCAAAGCAAAAGGGCCAATATATCATGGACTGGAAGCTCCAAAACTATGAGTCCAGATAAACAAAACTTTTTGAAAGTATTTGTTACAGTACTGGAAAGCTGACCAGCACACAAGGCAAGCAATACACTGAAAAAGGATATTCATCACACACACACATTAAAGGGTTCATCATCAAAATGCACTAAGAACTCCTACAATTAAACAGAAGTCAAACAATCTAATTTAGAAATGGACAGAGGCAAAAGAGGCACTTGGGGCTGAAGTGAGTCTCAGTGGAAGACTAGGCAAAGACTTAAGTGACATTTCATATAAGAAGATACTCCAATGGCTAATAAGAATTTGAAAGGAGTTTCATTGAAGTTAAAGCTAGAAGGAAATATCAGAATGGCTACAATTAAAAATAATGGCAAGGCCTCATTTTATCAAGGCTGCTTATGGGTGATACAGGGATACAGCTGCTTTGAAAATGTCTTTAGGAATATTTATTATCAGTAAACATATGCCTTCGTTGCAACATAGAAATTCTATTTTAGTCAGCTAGCCAAGAGAACTGAGTACATATATTCACCGAAATACCTTTACATGCATGTTTACATCATGATACATTATTCATGATATCTCAAAGTTTCAAACAATCCAAATGCCCATTGGCATGAGAACAAATAAATACTGACTGGTATATTCACACAATCAAATACTATGTGCAGCAATAAGAAAAAATACATGATTGCTACATACAGTAATATGGGAACACCTCACACATATTGTATCTGCTGAGAGAAAGCCTTTAAATAGAAGAAACTACAAGCTTGTATTTTTATGAGGTGAAAAAGTGAGCAAAATCAGTCTATTGTGACAGAAGACAAATAGGTGTTGCCTAGTCAGTATTGACTTGCAAGACAGTCCAGACATTGGGAAGAGGCAGGGACAAAATGTATTATACGGTAATATAGATAATATATAAACAATACTTGTGCACCTATAATATATACTTGTTTTAAAAAGTCACTAAGGCATACTTTATTTTTATTTTTTAGCAGATTTTTTTTATTGGTTGTTCAAAACATTACAAAGCTCATGACATATCATCTTTCATACATTTGATTCAAGTGAGTTATGAACTCCCATTTTTACCCCAAATACAAATTGCAGAATCACATCAGTTACACATTCACAATTTTTACATAATGACTAAGGCATACTTTAAAGATTAGTGCATTTTCTTTTATAAGTCTTATTCCTCGATAATAAGTTTCTTTAAAGTTGAGGAGGGAAAGGTGCTTTTTCTTTTAAGGATTAAAGCATAAAACATCCTAATTCAATAATTTTTGGAATGGCAGATTTTATTCAGAACAGAGAACTCAGAAGCCACTAAGAAAATATCAGGGACACATTGGTCCAAGTGCATTGAGCTCTAGGGCTGGCTTTGCTCCTTAGCGCCTGTAGAAGGTGAAGGGAAGCTATGAAAGGAATCCTGAGGTATTTCTCGCAGAAGCCGCAAGAGGATCCCGTAGTCAAGGCGGCCAGTCTTCCCGCCCCCCTTAGGTTGCTTCCCGCCTCCAGCTCCGTTGCAGCTCAACCCACATGCAGCGCGGGCCAGCCCTGGTCTTCCCCAGAAACCTTCTGAGTGGAGGACCTGAGAATGGCAAACAGTGCTCATGGCTTGGGCGCATTCGATATTTATAGAGATATAAGTGCTTCGTTTTTGTTGATCGATCTCCAACCCTTACCCCTTATGATTAAGTACCGATCTTTTTATTTACTTTCTTTTTTTTTTTAATCTCCCTTTCTTTTCCTTAGAGCTAGGAGAGGGCAATGTAAAGCCCGAGCCCGGAGTGGAACTGTCAACTTCTGCTACAGGTGGTGAGGGTAGGGCAGGATGGAGGGTGCATAATGCTCTTATTCTGAAAAGCATCCCCGCCGGTCAACTTGGGCAAGGGAGGAAAATCAGTTTGGTAGCTTGTCCTTTGAAAATTCTTGACCTTGTATTTTGCCTTCACACTTATGTACAGAAAACTCGCCTTGAATTTTCTCTCCTTCTCAACTCATTCAGTTTTAAAACAAATGAAAACGAAACACACACACAAACCTTTTTTTCAGACACCATCAGGCAAGGAGGGCTTTCCAAGGTAAAAATATTAGGTGTACCAAGATGACCCACTATGTCCAATAAATGGAGCAAAGCATTTCAATGCCCAGAAGTAATCAGTGTTGAACTCATTCATAATATAATAACATTTAGCATATGCAAGAAAGGAAAAGAATAACAACAAAGGGATGTAAAAGGAACATTACTTTTTCTTTTCCATAGACTGGGTTACGAAAAATAAACAAAAAGTGTCTGTACACTTCTCATTATACTGATATTTTACAAACCATTCAAGAACCAATCTCTTTCTATTATAAACCACTTGTAAGCATTTGTATTTATGCCCCCAAAATAAAGAACACAGAAAAGAGTCTAAAACTTTGCTCAAAGAACTAATCAATGTCTATTGAGCTCCCATTCAGAGAGGCAGTATGGCATATTTATTAAGACTAACATATTGGTTTTATTGAACTCAACATCTGAATGCTTGGAACTGCCTGGATTTTAACTTTTCCTCACCAATGACTGGTTTCAGGTCTCTGCCCCCTTTCCATTAGCTGTCTACAAGCTGTGTGATCTTGGGGAAGTGACTCAACTTATTTGTGCCTTTTCTCCACCTGTGAAATGGGAACAATATTATGAGGGTTAAAATGAGTTAATTGTATAGGCTTTTGGCCTCTTTTAAATTATCAGTGTCTAATGATTATTTTTTTACCTATGTTCCTATTAATATGTTAAAAATGAAAACATAAAAATGTTTCTTTATACTTGCAGCCTTTTATCATAGCACACTTAAAATATGTGCAGACTTGACATACAGGCAGTCCTCCATATCTTAGATTCAACCAACTTCAGATAGAAAATATTTTCTTAAAAAATATCTCTACTAAACAGCTATAGATTTTTTTTACTAGTCTATGAACAATACATTGTAATAACTTTACATAGCATTTATATTGTATTAGGTATTATAAGTAATGGGAGGAGGCTAACTGTACATATTAATCCATTTTATTTATAAGGGACTTTGGCATCCTCACATAGTGTTATACCTAGAGGTTCTGGAACCAATCCTCTGAGGACATTGAGAGATGACTGTATTTCTGGAAGCAATTAAGGAACAAGTCATCATTTAACTAATTTATTAGTGCATTTTTGTTATATAGAATAATGGGTTTCATTGTGTTCAACTGATTTTTAGAGGGCTCAGTTGTGTGGTACAGAAATTAAAGAGTAGGGTACACTATGCTAAGGTTTATAATCACCTGAAGCTTCAAGAAGTGGTAAGGTTTAGGCCCTAGAAAAATATAAGAATGTCAGGAGTCTCAATAGAAGACAGGATCTGAGGTGGGCATGTGCACTGACTTACGAGTGACAGGCAAGCAGAAGATGTTAGAAAGAGCCCTTGGAAGGGAAGAGGCTGGGCATGGAAAGGACCTCACAGAGACAGGAAGATCACAATGCCAAGGTGACAGTACTATTATTAAAAACAAATAAACAAACAAAAATATAGTCATCACCAATAACTTCACTCCACTTCATGCTCCTGTTCATGTTGATGAATCCAGAAACAAGGAGGAGAGCATCAGAGAAACTCAACTTACTATTCTATATATTTTATGAACAAAACCATTGAAGAAACAGTTATCACACCCTTCCATGATTCTATGCGTGGTAGTTGAAAATATAAAATATTTTCTAAGAACTATTTGTGTTTTTTTTGGGGGGGGGTATAAAAAAGCAAAATTCCTAGTGGGTTTACTGTGTTGATATTGTGATATTTACATAATAAAGGACTGGTTTTCTGAGTGATTGTTACCAATGAAAACTAAAATGCAACTTTCAATCTTGATGAAAACTCATCGAATGAAGCGCACTTCATAGTTCAACCAAGAGAACATCTTTTCCTTTTTGACTTAGGATCCTTCTTCCCTGCCTTTACCAGTATTTTTCACCTTTACTGTTAATTGTTATGCTTTCGTTTCTTTTCCATGAGCAAGGGACACATCGGGCGGGCGTGCTTTGCTCCCAATAAGCCACGGAATCTTAGGAAGGCACAGAAGTTCAGCGACTTAGCACCACGTGTGGGATGGAAGGACGGTTTCGGCTAGCCATCTTAACCGTTTTACAATGGCGTCTCTAAACGAAGACTAAGGGCAGAGGCGGGAAACAGGAGGTCAGGGAGCGCTGGTGAGAAACTACCTCGTGTTGAAATGACAGGAGGAACGCCAACTCGGGAGCTTTCTCCACAAGTGTCAATCCCCATCCCCGGGACATTTCCTCAGGCTCCCCGCAGGATGCCCAACCTCCCCTCCCCCACGGAGCCCCGCCCCCTTTGTGGTCTCAAACTCTGAGTCCATTCAAACCTGGCTGTCTTCCCTGCGCCTTGTCAAGCGTGTAATTTGGGAAACTCCTCCCCGCCAGGACCGCCTCAGAGGCGCTACCAAAGGAAGCGCTTCGCTGCCCCCACCTCCGAGCGCGCGGTGGCCGCACACCGCGGAGAGCCTGCGGCCAGGCTCCAGCGCCTGGCTCTGGTTCTTGGCTCCCGGTGGGGTGGGCGGCGCCGCGTGGGGACTAGAGACTGCGAGGCCAGGTTCCCCCGCCACCCGGCTGCGCAGACCCGGCGCCAGAGCGCGGGCGGGGTTGGCGCGCCGCGGTAGCCTGGCATTCAGTGTGCGCCCCGCGGAGCCGCGCGCACACCCGCCGGCCGTCGGGGGCGCGGCTAGCAGAGGGAGCAGACACCTGTCCCGCTGTAGTGGACCGGAGCCCTTGTCGCGCAGCAGCCAGCGGCAGCGGAGGCGACGAGCGAGGGAAGAGCTTGTGGAGACGAAGTCCACGCTCCGGAGTAAGCAGCCTTAGCCCGAGGCCTGGGACCCTACACCCCGAGCTCCAGGACACCATGGCCCCGAAGATGATCCTCCTCCTCTGCTTGTTCTCGGGCTTGCATGCACGGTAAGTTGCGCGGGGTCCCCAGCGTCCTCCGGAGGCCCGGAGCCTGGCGAGAGGGCGGCGGGGGGCGCTGTCTGCCGGCTCGGAGTCCGTGCTGCGCCCGGCCGTCGGCTAGGTTGCAGCACAGAGACAGGGAAGTCAGCCCGCACCTCAGCTGTCCCATCTATCCCCAGAAAAGCCTTCTGCCTCTCCAGGCTGGGTGGCTGCAGCCCCTTTCAGCCGGAAATATGGAGACTCAGAAATAAATTGACTCTTTTTTTCCTTTTTTAGGATCTGGTGGTTTTAAGGGGGTTTGATAAACAAGATTATATGGCATTGACCGCATCTATCTCCTTGTCTACCTCTTGTCTCCATCCCAAATGTTCCAGGGACTTATACAGGCATTGACCGACATTCTCAATCAATTCCGTCATTCTGAAAATTTTCCAGGACCCCAGGAATGGTGGTTTCCTGGCTGCCCGGTTTAGACCACACCAGCTAAGGGGTTTGGAGGGAAGTGGAGGGATTGGGGCCAGGTGGGCATCTTAGAGCTCTGCTTCTCTAAAAGTACACCCCTGCCAAATCCTGCAGACACTCAAAACATACACACTGCCCTTCTAGATCAGCCGCTTCTCACACATAAAAAAAGCATACACCTATCCCAATAAAGCAAGCATATTGACATTGCTATTAAATCTTCTAACTAGTAATATAAAAAATGATCTCCACTTAAATACCCTTAGTCTTCCTCCCAGAACATCAGTCAGCTAATGAGAGTTTAGAAACCCTCCAGGAAGAGATGGAAAGGGCTCAGGAGGGTAGATAGGTAGCAGGATCCAAAGGGTTAAGCCCTGTTGCTGTGAACACACTAGAAATTCTGGGTATGGTTTAATCTGTCTCCAAGCCTGAATCTCTGGCTAAATCTTGCAGACTATCTTGCGCTTTGAAAATCAGTGCAGCTCCCTGATTCTTCCCCTACACTAACCCTAGGAATCACAGCACACCTCTATTCCCCAAACACTCTAATTGTGACATTTGTTCATTTCAGAGAATTGCAGAGCTTTCTGGTGGGTCACAAGTTCTGCAGCTTAGGAGGTCTTGCATTTGCATTCATATTTATGAAGTAACAAGGAACTAGGAACACACATTAATAAATTCTACAAAATCTGAAGGGTACTCTTTTCTTTCTCTCTCTGATAAAAATGCGGGAAGAAAACCCTGGCCCTCTCCTTCAAACCACTGGTCTTTGCTGAGTTCTGTGTGTAAAAGGCAAACTCCACTGATGACTCATAGGCAGCACTCTCAATGAGGCAGAGCACCCCTTGAACCTTTCAGACTAAGTTTCTTCCTTTATAAGTAGGGGACTGGTAAGACACATGGAAATGTGGTGTTTGCAGTCTTCTGTGCCTGGAGATAAGTCTGTTTGGAGGTAGATAGCATTGGGCACAACTTAAATGCCAAGAGTCACATCTACATGACCTTTCTATTGTCACCAATTCAAAGAAGTGACCTGTAGTTTAGCATTAGGTAATCCACTATTAGATCTATAGATGAACATTCTAGAATTGCCTATTTTCATTATCCATTGTGCTCAGTAGGAAGATATCATAATATCTGATTGTTAGCAGCCAGGTTTCTGGGGATTCCCAAACACACATAAAAACTCTTAGGATTCTGAATCCTTTCATTTGGCCAAGGCAAATGTACTGCTGATTTTCATATGTTCTTTATCTGAATTCCCAGCCTGCTAGTCATGATTGCACATCATTTTGGGGAAAAAAGTCTAAATTTTATACTAATTTTATTGCATGCATCTCTCCTATGAAAAGGGCTTTTGTTCTTTGGGTTTTACAGACATGTAAAATAATCTGATGCCCTGTGTCATCTTTCAAAATAACTATTAATTCTGAAAGTGTTCTCATTTACATTCTGGCATGCTTTCCTAGAGTTGAAGTTCTGTGATAAAAGATTCTGACCCCTGTGCTTGGTGTATCAGTAACTCTCTGAGTTTATGGGGGCTCCCCATCCAGCCCCTCGTTGGTAAATTTATTATACAGTAAAACACACTGAATCACACCTGGACATTGAGGATGCCTTAAGGATGCTTACCTACTTTCTGAGGTTAAGTAGCTCTTTTCAATGTCTAAAAATACTTCATACTTTGCCTCTATCTTTCTGGATGAAGAGAAGGTATATGGCATGAGAATAACATCTGAGCACTGAACAGTTGTGTGACAACAACAGTACATCACTGATTTATTTTTGAAGTGAATTTCAGTGATTTTTTTTAAGATCCCACAATCCAAGTAACAAAATGTTCATAAAGATAATATGTAACTCACTCAGAATTCAGAAAGACAGAAAAGTTCTGTTTTATCCACCTTGTAGGTCCACTGAGGTGAGATTTGTTTTTTATCATAGCAGGAATTTTCCTGTGGGGCTGGGAGGTCTGGTTTGAGCAGTATAAGGCTTCATTTTCAGGATCAGGAGAAGCACAGTGCTTGCAGCTGAGGGGTCAAAGCCCCTCCCCCTGCCCGGACTATGCATTATGCCACTCAGCTTCAGAGTTGGAGGCCTGACTGTCCCTCCTGAAAGGGTGAGACAAAACATTTCTAGTTTCCCTTTCTCAGTTCCCCCACTTCCACTTGCCGTGTGGACACTAGGAAGAAGCTTATGCAATTTTAGGAAAACCCTCTCACCACCACTAGAGGGAGAATTAGACTCATTATAATACCTCTTATTGAAGTAGATCAAAGTAAATTTCAGAAACTAAAGCTGTGTATGTAATGAGGAGGAGCCGGTGAGTGTGCTCCATCTGTGTACATGTGACCAGTGAGGCAGTAGAAAATAGCAGAATCTAGAGACCATAATCTGGTTCTGTAGTGGTGGGTAGTGGGGAAGGTGGCAGGGAGGAAAGGGAAAGAGAATAAAGGAGAGAGACATGGCCGAGGGAGAGAGGAATGCATGTGACTGAGTTGAAAGGTGTCCTGAGAATGTTGTGCATGATCCACCAGGAGAGTTACGCCTCTTTCTACAGTCTTCAAACACCATCTACAGTCTCCAAACATCTTTCTACAGTCTCCAAATCTGAAATGATTTGCCAGATCCTGTGGGCAATGCTTGGCTTCCAGTTGTGTAAAACCACGCTTCATTTTGTTTTTGCAAGATGATAAAAATTTACGTTCCTTATATTGCCCCTGATAACACGAAAATCTTATAATAACATTTAAAATTCTGTAATGCTATTTTTATTTTAAAAAATCAGTCTCATGAATGTTGACTTTTTTTTTTTTTTTTTTTTTTTGCACTGGGGATTGAACCCAGGGGCGCTTAACCACTCAGCCACTTCCACAATTCTTTTTATTTTGAAACAGTCTTGCTAAGTTGCTTAGGATCTTGCCTAGTTGCTGAGGCTGGCTTCGAACTTGTGATCCTCCTGCCTCAGCCTCCAGAATTACTGGGATTGCAGGTATGCACCATTGCTTCCAGTTTAGTCTATTCCTTACTGAATATATGTCCTAAATGTTATAAATTCTTATTGATGGTGAGTGTTCAGTGTGAATAAAAATCCACAGCAATTTATATTTTCTGTGGATGCTTTATTTTGACCTGTGGCAAATAGGTATTCAAGAAATACAATTACAGTTTAAGATCAGCCTAGAATGAATTCAAGAAGTCATTCTACAAGAAATGATATATATTCATTATCAGCATCTCATAAACATATTACAGTTGGCCCTTCATATCCAGGGATTCTGCATTTGAAGATTGAATATATTGGAAAAAAAATTATCTCTGATAGACACATACAGATTTTTTTCTTGTCATTATTCTCTAAATAATATAGTGTCACAACTATATAAATAGCATTTATATTTTATTAACTTTAAGTCATTTAGAGATGATTTAAAATATCTGGAGATTATTGCAAATATGATGCTATTATATATGAGGGATTTGAGCATCCCGTTATTTTGATATCTGTAGGAGTCCTGCAGGATATAAGGAGAGACAACTGTTTTCATCCAGGTTTAGAGTATCTGAAAACTGCTCTGGTCTACCATATGGTTTAATACTCATAAAAGACTCATTTACATGCATATATACATTTTATGTATTACAGTATATACACATATGATTCTGAAGACTTTAGAAGGGTTGAACTTTAAAATGTTTATAATTTTCACTAATTTCATGTTCACTATAGATCATTTAGTCAGTTTTAAATATTCACTTCAGGAAACTCATCTCCCAGAGCCCAAGTGCCCTAATGTAGCATTGGTATTTTTGGTTCCTGGCCGAGAATATGAACAGAAATGAGCCTATACCCAGTCAGGACAAATCCACCTCAATGCAGTTTTCTTTTCTGTGTTTTGTTCTCTTGTGAAGGAGAAAATAGTCAAGGCACATACACTGACAAACTGGAAAGGAGGTGATTGGTTTGTTTTACAAGCTTTCCTGCCAGCCAGTGACAGTCCACCTGCAAGTAAATGCTGCTTCAGGGCAGAAGAGACTGTGCTTTCCAAGCCCAAATGGTTGTGTGGTTGAGATGGCTTCACTCACTAAGAAAACTTCTTTGTCGTCTTGAGGCCTCTGAATTCAACTACTCTGTCGGTGTTTATCAGCTGAGAGAGGGAATCTCCATGTTCATCCCTGCAAAACAAGCAGAGACACCCAAGCATTCATTGGGATCCACTTATTAAGAACCCAAGATGTGGAAGACGTATTAAATTTTATTCCTAATGTCTCTGTAGCCTGCTGTTCAAGAAATGAATCAGTTTGTGTTTTACTTAAACATGTAAAATTGCCAGAGGATATTCACCAACCATTTTTCTGATTGTTGTCCCTGGCAAGAGTGCTGGTAAAGCAAGATACCTCAGAATGTCTGCATGCCTACCTCAAGCCCTAGATTCCAGTTTCCAAGAAAAGCATAGTCAGAACCAACTATTTTTAATGAGTCCCTTCTGCAAAATTTATTCTCACCTTCAAGTAGAATGAGATTTTGGTGGTGGGAAGTGGAGACAACATGATAAAGTGAACTCTGACAAATCCTGGAAGGTTAGTGCCTTGACCTTGGGAGCTTCTCAAGATGCATTCAAGGATGGCCCATTGCCTATTGACTATTCTGACATTAATTTACCTGTCACAGTGGCTGTAGTTTAACATGGACAGGGAATGGTCTTGTGACATGTAATGAAAACATTATGCCATATTAGTAGCAGTTGCATTTTTCCTGTTGAATTCTTTCTAATGTGTACTTCATTTTACTTTTTAAATTTTGTAGTTGATGTGAGTGGTTGGAATAAGGGAACTGGGAACTTTCTACCCATTTCAGTGGTACTTGTAAAGGATAAACTTAAGGCACTTCCTGCTGCTGTTTCTGCAACTTATATGTCACATTTTTGTGTTACTATTACAGGTCCAGAAAGGTGGAAGAGGATGAATATGAAGATTCTTCATCAAACCAAAAGTGGGTCTTGGCTCCAAAATCCCAAGACACTGATGTAACTCTTATTCTTAACAAATTGCTAAGAGAATATGATAAAAAGCTGAGGCCGGATATTGGAAGTGAGTATTGTTTGTTATTGCAATAGGAAACACTATTATGAAACTTTAAAGTTTCTATTTTTAAATAATTATACAATTTACAAAGTGTTGCAAAGATATCACAGAGGTTTTCTGTACTCATCACACAATTCCTAACTATAGTATAATAGTAAAACCAGAAGTTTAACATGGATCTGATGTGTCTATGTGTGGTTCTCTGTCATTTTATCACATATATATTTGTCTGATGACCATTGAAATTAAGATGCAGAACTAATTCATGACCACAAAGATTCCCTCTTGCTGTAACTTTATAGTCACACCTCCCTTCCTTCCTAAAATTCCTAACACAAGCCCCTATTTTGTTCTCCACTCTGATATTTTTGTCATCTGGTGAATGTTAAGTATATGGAGTCATTGACCTTTTGAGTTGGACTTTTTTTTTTTTTTTGGTGGTGCTGGGGATTGAACCCAGGGCTGTGTGCATGCAAGGCAAGCACTCTACCAACTGAGCTATATCCCCTGCCCCTGACTTTTCTTCATTCAGCAAAATAATTTTGAGATCCACTCAAGCAGTTTTGTGTATCAGTAATTTATTATAATCATTGAATAGTCCTCTGTGGCATGGATGTACCATTGTTTGTTTATCCATTCATCAATTGAGGCACATTTTGGTTGTTTCTAGGTTTTGTCTATTATAAGTAAAATGATAGGTCCACATGTATGCAGATTTTTGTGTGGGCATAAGATTTTATTCTTTGTGATAAGGCCCAGGAGTATAATTGCTATGATTACTGTATTTTTTTTTCAATTTATTCTCTTTTTTTATTTTGTTCACTGAAAACTTTACTTTTTTATTATTGGTTGCTCAAGACAATACAATGATCTTGACATATCATACATTTGATTCATATAGAGGCAAAAAATACATACTTATGGGATTCCATATGATGTTTTGACACATATTTTGTGTGATATTTAAATCAGGGTAAACTTAATCTCTTTAAATATTATATTTTTATGGTAAAAACATTCAAAATCCTTTGTTCTAGATGTTTGAAATAAATAGTATATACTTGTTATCTATAGTCACTCTGCTATGTAAAAGCACATGAGAACTTCTTATTCCTACCAGTTAAACCATAGAACATGTCTTTCCCCATTTATCCCTCCATTCCACCTTCCCAGCTTCTGGTCACCCCCATTCTACTCTCAACTTCTATTTTCAAGGAACCCTCACATTCTTTTCCAAAGTGGTTGGACTGTTTTTCCATCCTTACCAGCAATATCTGAGGGATCCAACGTCTCTGTGTTCTTTCCAGCAGTTGGCATTGTCACCATTTTTTATTTTAGCTGCTGTATTAGATATGATATTTAATAGGTTAATATCCCATTGTGGTTCCCTAATTATTAGTGGAATTGAACTCTCTTTATGTGCTTATTTGTTGTGAGCACATCCTCTTGATTGAAATGTCTTTTCATGTTATTTGCCCTTTTAAAAGTTGGATTGTTTGGTTTTATTTATTTGTCTTTTTACTTTTGAGTATTGAGAGTTCTATTGAGACTTCCAGATATGAGTCCTTAGTCCTCTCTGTAGTTTGCCTTTTCATACTCTCAACAGGATCTTTCCTTCACAGAGGAAAGATTGTAATATTGATGACGAATCTAATTTCTTGATTTTCTGCTGATGGAGTATGCTTTTTAGACTAACGTCTAAGAACTCTTCGTGTAGCTATAGTTCCTAGGATTTTCTTATAAAATTTTATCCTTTTCTGTTTTACATTGTAAATCATTACTGAAGTTAATTTTTATGTAAAATAAAGGTATGAGGTTTTGATCTATTATCTTCCCTCTGCCCCATGAATCTCCTGTTACTCCAGAAGCATTTGTTGAAAAGACTGTCCTTGTTGAATTGTTTTTAGGCAGTTGTCAAAAATCAGATGGCTTGATTAGTATGAGCTCTTTCTGTGTTCTCTATTTTGTTCTGTTTGTCTGTGTGTCTGCCACACTACTAGTACCCACAGTTTTGATTACTGCAGCTGTACAATATGTTTTGAAATTGGATAGAGTAATTTATTCTCTTTATTCCTCTTTTCAATATTATTTTAACTCTTATAGTACATTTGCTTTTCCATATAAATCTTAGAATAACTTGTTTGTATCTACAAAAAATCTTGCTGGTACTTTGGTGAGAATTGTGTTGAAACTTTGCATGTCAATTTGAAAAGAACTGGACAGCTTTACTGTGTTGAGTGTTCTAATCTATGAACATAATCTGTCTCCATTTATTTACATCATCTTTAACTTCTTATATCAGTGGTTAACATGAGTTCTAAAATATTTTATTAGATCATACCAAAGTATTTTATTTTTTAGAGTGATTGTAAGTGGTACTGTATTTTCAAATTGTATTTTTCCTCTGTTCATTGCAGGTATACAGGAATGCAATTATTTTTGTGTGTGTTGATATTGTATCTTCTGACTTGCTGAAGTTTAGGAGTTTTGCTAGTTTTAGGATTTTTTTTTCTGAAGATTTCCTTAGGGTTTTCTATGTATACAATCATGTCATCTGCAAATAAGAAGTTTATTTCTTGTTTCTCCATATGTATGTGCTTTATTTCCTTTTCTTGCTGACTTACACTGGCTAGAACTTCCAGCACTATGATAAATAGCACTGAGGTGAGGGGACATTCTTGTTGTTTTCTAGATCTTAGGAGCAAAGTGTAAGTATTTCAACACTAAATAAGATATCAGCTGGAGGTATTTTGTATATGTTCTTTGTCCAATTGAAAAATTTTCCTAAATAACTAGTTTTCTGACTTATTTGTCTATTTAATCATGAATGAGTATTGAAATTTGCCAAGTGCTTTTACTGTATCAATTGAAAGAATCATGTGATTTTTTTTTCTCCTTTGGCCTGTTAACAGGGTGGATAGTATTGATTGATTTTTTTTTCCAGTACATGACCAGTATTACATACCTGGAATAAACTCGGTCATGTTATTTAGTCATACTGTTTTAAAAAAAATTCTTTTCATTCTTTGCTGAATTTTTGTTTGCAAATACTTGCTAATACTTGATTATGAATTTTTGCATTTCTGTTCATGAGGGACTTTGGTCTATAGGTTTCTTTGTTCTTTTGTTTTTTTAAACTGGTTTTGGTGCCAGGCAATACCAGCTTCATAAAATATGTATGGAAGTACTCCCTCACCTTCTGTTTTTTGGAACATATTTTGTGTCATGTAAGGGTTTGTGTTACTTCCTCAAATGTTTGATTGACTGCTCCAATGATACATTCTGGGCCAGGAAATGCCTTCTCTGGGAGCATTTTCCATTACAAATTTATTTCAATAATGAGTTTATTCAAATAATCAATTTCATATTGGGTTAAGTTGCAGTAGTTTGTGCTTTACAAGGAATTGGTCAATTTCTTTGAAGTGGTCAAGTTTGTGTGTAAATGTCTGCTGGGCATATTATGACCTCCTGTTTTATTTGTAATCTTGGTACTTTGCATCATCTTTTCTCATTTTTTCTACAAGCTTATTACACTGACCTTTCCAAAGAATCAACTTTTTGTTTCAGTATTTTTCTGTTGTTTTAATGTTCCCATTTAATTAAATTTTGCTCTTTTTATTATTTTCTTTCTTCTGCTTGCTTGGTCTTCTACTTGATTTGGAACTTAGATTCTTGATTTGAGACATTCTTTTCTTTTGTAAGTGTTGGTTCTCTAAACTGTCCCCTAAGCATTTTTTAACTTCATTCCAGAAATTTTGATTTGTTGTATTTTTATTCTTATTTATTTCAATGTATTTTTAAAAATTTCCCAAGATTTTTGTCCCTTAACACATAGATTACTTAGAAACAATTTTTTTTTTCAAAATTTTGGAATTTTCTTGTTTTCTGTTATTGATTTCTATTTTGATTCCATTTTGATTCAATAACATACTCTAAATAAAAGCTCATTTTTTTCAACCTGTTAATATATAATTTATAGCCCAGGATATGATCAATCTTGGTGAATGTTCTAGAGCACTTGAAAAGTGTTAAGTTCTTCTGTGTCTTTGTTTATTTTCTGCCTCGTTTTCTATTGTTTGTTTTGATAGATTAACACTTGTTTGATTGAAAAATACTTTCTAATTCAAAATAAGAATACTGTGTTTGGCTGTAAGAAAATTGGTGCACACAAGCAGGTATAGCTCTACATCGTCTTCATGAGAGTAGTGAGAAACATGGGGATTGCAAGATATGTTCTATTTTTCATAGGATGCTCCCAGTCTGCGGTTTGTTTCTTCTTCTCCATGGTGCTTTATTTCATTTACAGCACATAAGCTTGCCAGTGTTCATACTATATAGCCACACCATCCTTCCAATTTTCTAAGCCCAGGACTCCAATTTACCTATAACAAGACCTAGAATTACCCTGACTCCAAAAGGCATAAAATTTCAAAGTCATTGTGGGTAGTGTGGGGAGAGTTTAAGAATGCATGCAAATTATAGTAAACACTGGATAAGTCATAATGTCTTTCTGTGCCTCAGTTCCCTCTGTTGTACAATGAATGAAAGGTACTAAATTACTCCTCACCTTCCTTCCAGCTTTAAAACATTTATTTAGTGAGTGGTACATCTAAATTCCCATTATAGAAGGTTCATAAATTCAATTGTCATCAGTTTTTCCCATAAAAATCATAAAGGAAGTCTATCCAGTGTGAAAAGTGTGCAGCTATTATTCATTCACATAGATGAGATGATTTAGAGAATGTTACTAATTTCATCACTGTTTGTCAGACAATATACTTGACATTAGAACAAACCTGAGCAAGAAACACTCTTCATTTGTGGGCAAGTTTAGTCTAGTTGGTACTCTGCTCTTTGTGTGCTAGGATGCAGTGAAGTGCCTTACATTCATATTCTGAGGTGGGAAAATTGGACATGGGAAGAAAACGAGTGAGCTCAGCTTCCAACACTGATCTCTCTGACTGCAGCAAGATCACTTATCCACTGCACTATTTATAGAATACACA